AAACCTGAACACCCCAAAAGGGTTTTCCCTTCTATCATTTTCTTCTGTAAAATAAAGGCGAAGTTAGCCAAGACAATAAAAATGAGGGGTAAAAGCATCGAGGACTGGGTCTCAGCCTTGTTATCAGGAGGGAGATTCTAGGCCATGATGGATGAGGAATGCAAACAGATTTGGTTCCGAAACCATTTTGAGGGTGTGTACTGAAAGTATTTATTTTACAAAATGTCTTAAAATGTGTTAAATTCAAGCAATAAAGCTGCGTCTAGTTTAAAGAGTTTTCAGGCCCGTGTTAATAATGCGCACTGCGTTATATATGGAAAGGTTAATCCTCCAATGCCACCGAACCACTCTTGTGCTGCTGCGCCACCGATAAATAAGAATAATGTGCGGAATCCAGCAAGGAAGCCTCCATAATGACCATGAAAGAACAGTTTATGGTTAAATAAAGGCGCACAGCGGCAAAACTCCATTTTCTAGACACAGTGTCGGGCGTAACTGTAACGCCCGCTTCAGCCTTTGCCAAAGTGTAGATGTATGTATGCCAGCCCTCAGCGGGAGACCCGTCGGTTATGCAAAGTAATGCAAAATTGCCACGGCGGCCAGCGTCAGCAGCGATTCAAATGCAAGTGGTCCACTTACACACGCCACACGCACAGTGGTTAGAAAAGTATTAAACCTTTGTCAACATTTTTAAAAGTTGAACAAAATGTTCTTTAAAATAAATTGAGGACAACATACCCTAAATTACTTTGAACTGATAAGTAAGTAATAACATAAATAGTAAAATTAAAATTGATCAACAAAATAGAAAACTATTGAACCTTTGTAAAAGGTGAAAAAAGTTATTAAAAAAACTTTTTTTTTAACCAAATTTAGGGCAACAAACCCTAAATTACTTTGAATTGATAAGTAAGTAATCACTGTGAACGGCAGTCCACGTAGTGACGATATACACGAAAAAATTCAAATCGATCTACTAAATAAATACACTTTTAACATTTATTACATTCGGCATGCTACAGTTCAATATGTCTGTACAATTTTTAAAAAGCGTATCGAACGAGAAAAATTTAGAAAGTGTATTTATTTAGTAGGTCGAATAATACATTTTCGTCACAAGAGTTTGAATCAGAGCCTTCGTTTGTTGAAGTTGCGCTCGTCACTAGATTTTTACCTCGTTAAGAGGTGTTTTTGCTTGATACAATAAATACCAAATATAAATCTATCACTAAAATAATCTTTGACCACTGTGCAGGGTTGTTGTTTTTCCAGCTGTGCGCTTGGCTAAAATGCACGGGTATGTGTGTGTCGTTTTTTTTTATTGGCCAAGCTTGATAACGCATATTTTTGGCTTATTTTGCAGCTTACTGCTGCGGCAGCAATTTTGCACAACTGGATGTGTGTGTTCGTTTCCTGGGATAACCACAGACGAAAGGGAGTGACGGAATGTCCCTACTATATCTGAAAAGCAAAAACATAGCTAAAAGAAAATTAATTAAATTTAAAATTAGATTTTGGTAAATTATAGGTTAAGTTACATTATAATAAAATTGATAAACCACTAAAATAAGAAAATTAAATTTTTGTTTTTATAGATATATTATTTGTATAAAAATAGTTTAAACATGTAAATTGTAAGCACAACCACAGGGTATTTGGACTTCGAAGAGTCCTGGCAGTGGACTCTTCACACAATCATTTTTTGTCGCTGCGGTTTGCCCTTCGCTGCCCGTCTGCCGATAATCACGCTATTGCCCCATCAGCCGGAAATGGGCGCGCCGCCATCTTGTGTCTGCGCCATTCACGGGCGTGTGTGTGTGTGTGTGTGTGTGTGTGTAGGGGGCTGGAGTGTGTGTGAGCCCCACGAAATATGCGTGCAAGTGGCATAAAGTGGCAGCCATCTTTTGGGTCTTTGCCGTGCGGACGGGTCTGCCAATCTGCTGCCAAAGAGCACAGCGTATATTGGATTTGCCAATCATAAACTGAAGCCAACTGCATAATCTATGCACCATTGCAGTCAAACACAGACAGCGGAAAATGGATGGGGGCGTATGGAAATGGGTTCGAACCATTTTCAAAACTCTTTGGGCACCAAAAAATCATGCACACGCATTTCCATCAACATCAGAAACCTTTATTGGAATCGATTAATCCCGAAACAATTTCTATGGCGTTCTTGACTTTAAAATATAACCACAAAATCACCTTTAATTAATTTCAGTGGTGTTTTTTAAAGTTGTAAGCTCGTTTTACATAGTGTTCCATTGTTGATAATGATTTCCATTCAAAATGCATTAGCATTTTTTCTAAATAGGAAAATTATAAAGGAAAATCCGGATGTAGAGGCAGTCCATCGGTTATATAAAATTCAAAAAATAAAACTAAATTGCATTCTAGCATATCTCCGTTCCATTTATCCGCCCCTATTTCAGTTTCGTTATGTCTGTAGCTCGAAATAATAACAATAACTATCCTTTATATCTGCTTAACAGCCAATGCAGTTAAAAAAGCAAATGTTTTTCTCAATTGCCACTGCCATTGTCATGACTGTTATTATATTTGCAGCTTTTGTTGCTGATTTTGTTGCCAGTGACTGTGCTGTATAGCTGGTTTTGTCTAGTTCCCTAATAATATAATTGTTAAAGAAACTTTAAGTTAAATGCGTATAATAAATGCATTTATTTCTTACATACATTTTGTAGTTATTACTTTCAAACTCTTATAACTCATTTCTTTAGAATTAATTAAAAATGTTATCATTAAAATACCCCTTTAAGAATAATCCGAAAATGTTATAAAACCAAGGATAACTCATAACTAATTTGTAAAAATAACAAAAAAAAAGAGTATCTATAAGAACGCCTTAAAGTTCCATCGTTTCTTTTGGTTTTGCCAACATCGTTGCCTTGCCAAAAACAATTCCCACTGAATTTTTACAGCCGAAATAATTTTTAATTTACATAAATGCCGGTCGCTATTCACGATGTGAGTGTGTGCCGTCGGTTTGCTCTTTGGCTTTTGTCGGTTGCATTCAACATACAGAAACGAATCTTCCGGATACGTCTCCGGCTCGATTTTCCCCACTCTCACACCAAGGCTGTGGGTGAAACACTCAAAAAAAAAGAACTATTTATGTGCAAGAAACCATTTTTAAATGTAATAAACTAAGGACGGTTTTCTCAATGTAATGTTAAGATTCTAGGCTTTTTATCTGTTAGAGAAAGTTAACATGATGTTACATTATAAGAGGAGACAAATTTGTTTTCTCAATGGGATGTTAATTTTAGGATCGACAAATCTTTACAGACTCTGCTATTATAAGGTTCATCAGGATATTCGGACTGACAAACCTCCAAAAGAAGGGAAGACAACCTTATGTTGTCATTTTGGTGTTGTCGAATAACCAATCTAAACTAAACCTGTATTGAATAGATAGATACAACCTAAATATATTTTGAATTAATATTTTTTTATAAACGGGAATATATCTCAATGACAAAATTAAATGTGACATGCAAATTTTACACAAAAAATGAAATCCTCCATAAATTAATTTCTTTTTATAAGTATATTTTCTTATCTATTATAGTTTTTATCTGAAAAAAATTTCCAAATTCTAGCCCAATCCTTTTTAAAGTGCACTTTTTGCTCAAGTTGGCAAATGCAAGCTTGCGACACATAATTCTGGTTCATATTCGCATGGCGGAAATAAGTTCCTGCTCCCTTGGTTTTTATGAGGGAGTTGCCATGCCCAGATGCAGCATTTTCGGGGGTTCCCCTCTTCAAATGGTCGGACATTTATCGATTTGCTAGCCAGGGATTATTCGCGCTGCCTTGGCATCGCCAACTCTGGTAATCTTTGCTGTTTCGCACCGAAATTATCTTCATCGCTCATACGCCGCGTGGCCAGGGAAATGCATGAAAATTGTCACTTATATTCGTGGTCATTGTTGTTGCTGCCGGCCTGTTGTCCGAAATGATAAATCACCGAGAAAACCTCCTGGCTCCGCTATTCACAACATTTGTCCACCGCCCAACGTCTACATAAATGTATATCTATTAGCATTTATCTTGGTCTCGGACCCAGACAAGTTTCGCCTGACTCCAGAATTAATCATGTGGCAATTATGCTGTGGCAACAGTTCTTACCCAGCGTCCATTTGCACACAAATATATAACCTTCCCTTGGCCATTTCCTCATCGGGCTATCTGTGACATCGTGGAACGGGCGCTCAATGAGAATTGCAACTAAATCATTGTGTCCGGAATTATGCCATGCCCTTCAGAGCCCCAAAACAATATTCAATGTAAACGTCTGGAATAAAATCAGGTATATTTAGGAAATCTACGGTTTACCAATTTTATCAGCTTATATATAACTAAAGCAATATTTCATCTGGAAGACAGAAAGAAAATCAAACTAATTTTGCAACTAGATAACTTTACGGCATAAAGGTGCTTTTTTAAAAATGGTATATTCTCTATGCCTTTTTCGTCAAGTAATCAAAGTCGATCCTTTCAAACCATGATAGGAAGTAACATAATATTTAAGATTGCTAAATTACAGAACCCTGGTCGAAATTCTGATTGACTAACTAGACAAAAACGTTAATCTAGACAGCAACTGGTTAAAGTCAAACGGAAAAGAAGAATCAATTAAAAACCCTTGTATTGGAAAGGAGTTGTTTTGAAAATATAGATTCGCTCAAGGAACCCGACTTGTTTGTCAAATCAAAAGTCCAACTGACCTACTGGTCATTCGCGAATTTATCCAAGCACCCAAACCCAAACGACAAAAAATATGTATTGGGTACGAACTTAAAATGAACGAATTTAAAAGGAACTTTAACTGTTTTTAATGCCAGACATTACTTTATAAAAATTATCGATAATTTTCCAAAGGAACCCTGTGAATCGAAAAAGTTTTTCAAATATCTCTTGGGTCACATTCTTTTTTATTAAAGTAAAGGTATTTAAAAATATATACTAAAATGTTTGCAGAATTTTTCAAAAGACAGTACTGGTAATGACTTGCACCCTCCTAGCTGGCAGGGGCGGGCTCCGCCGAAAGAGGACCTCCTTCCGGATCCGGCTCTACGGTGGCAACCGAGTCCTTGCCCGCTTCGTGGAACTCAAATGGGCGGAGCAGGTGCTTCCGGCAGCTATTCTGCTGGTCGTCGTCCTCCTCGTCGGAGGAGGCCTCGCTGCCCACCTTCATTTTGACGGGCAGCTTGACCGTGTCGATCGGCAGGTGGCCCAGGCAGTCGAATCCCACGTGGGCCAGCTTGAAGCTGGCCACGGCATTCGCGAAGTACACGGCATCGGCCAGGCGCCTCTGCCGCACGAAGGCGGCGTAGATGAAGCCGGCCGTAAAACAGTCACTGTCCCCCACCCGGTCGATGATCTTCTTGGTCTTGTGGGCGGGCAGCTCGAAGTACTGGCCCTCCGTAGTCATGCAGCCGGCTCCTAGGCTGCTCCAGGGCACAATGACGCAGGGTCTTCGGATCCGGATGTCCCTGGGCATCCGCAGCAGTTGGTGGACTCCCTCGCAGGCCTCCAGCGGCGACATCCAGCCACGCGTCTCGGCTATATACTTGGTCACAAAGACGTAGTCGCACATTCCAATCAGATCCACGACCGTCTCAAAGGCATTGTAGATCTGCAGCGAGACCACTATGCGATCCTCCTCCTCCCGCCCGTTGTTGTGGTCGAGGATCAGGCGGATCATGTCGCAGGTTTCCCGGGGACTGCGTGCCTCGAAGTTGACCCAACCGTACTGATCCAGATCCAGTTTCCGGAAGTCCTCGGCCGTGACATACGGAAACGGCTTGTCGCAGTAGAAGACCGTGCAACGACGGGTCCAGCGTTCCTGGACGATCGTGGAGAAGGGCGGACTCTCGTCCGTGAAGGTGCAGTGGCCAATGTCGATGCCGCGCTGCTCCAGGTCGTCGAGGATCATGCGGTAGGTGGGATTGCGGGACAGCACGCCGAACAGCTCCACATTGGCGCCCAGCAGCCGGAGGGCCGTGCTGACGTTCGAGGACCGTCCGCTGCGCTGGAGGATACCGTTCTGGGTGCGCGACCGGTCGCTCTGGAAGTCCACGTTCTCAACGGTGGTCACGTAGTCCACCTCGGTGCAGCCGACGCACAGCACCGCCTTCATCACGCTCAGGGAACACCATTGCGTCATCCTGGTCCTATCTTCCTTTTGATTCCGAATGTGGTTGTCGATCTTGATCCAGGATCCTCTTCTTGCCCTTTCTTCAATCCGTTTTCTTACTCCAAATTTACGATTGACATAATTTTGATTCTATTTCTGAGTAGTTTGACATCGGTTTGACCCACAAAAGAAGGGCACGTTAGCAGTTAGTCCAAATTAAATCTTAGTAAAGGTCCATAAAAATAAATATCATAAATACCAGGGGTTTTAAAATCACTTTTAAATACCCTTTTGGATGTCTAAAAGTATGCAAAAATATATTAAAAACTCAAAAATACATTTATTAAATCATCATGGTACACATCACATCACATAAGGTAGAAAATATCTTAGAGGATGTATTTTTACTTTAAACATTTTATGTCATTAAACAGAGAATTAATACTTAAATCAAAGGTTATGAAATGTAAATGAATAAAAACAGCAATGGAAGTAAAATACTTAAATATCAGTTTAAAATAAAAACAAATACCTCGTGTTTGACGATGTGCTCCCATAGTTTTCCGAACTTTCACTTTTTTTCCGAAGCCAAATCAAGCAGTAATGTTTTTGGAAAATTGAAATTTTGAAATTAAGCAGGGAAAACTCAATATGTCCGAGTATGGCAACAAACTGAGCTGGGCTGTCGGCAAGAAGACGGTGCTGTGTGTTGGCACCACGACCATTGACTTCGTCTCGACCATCAGGAAGTTCCCCGTGGATAACAGGAGCGAGAGGGCCGTCGGGGGTTACTGGATACGGGGCGGGAATGCGTCGAACAACTGCACGGTGCTCGCGAACCTGGGGGTCAAGGTGGAGTTCTTCGGAATGCTGAGCAGCCTGAGTGTGTTCCAGGTGCTGGTCGACGACCTGAAGGCGCGTGGCATCATCATAGAGAACTGCCCCAGCTGTGACCAGGAGGCGCCCTTCGCCTCCGTGATACTCACCAAGTCGACCAAAACGCGTAACATTGTCTTCTGCAACAGCAACTTTCCGTACGTTGGCATCGAGCACTTCCGGAAGCTGGACCTCGGCCAGTACGGATGGATACACATGCGGGCCCTGTTCTTTGAGAACACAATGGCGATGGTCAAGGAGCTGATGGCATACAATGCGGCCAGGCAGGAGAAGATCGTCCTTTCGCTGGAGTTCGACAACAGCCTGGAGGAGATGTGGCCCCTGATGGACTACTGCGACTACGCCATCTTCTCCAAGCAGCTGGCCCAGCCCAACGGCTGGGTTTCTCTGGAGGATGCCTGCCTACAGCTCGACGAGCGTTTGCGCATGCGCTGGGGCCTAAACCTGAAGCGACCCTATGTGATCGTCCTGTGGGGCGAAGAGGGTGCCGGGTTCCTGGACCTCGACGGCAACTACACCCACGTCAAACCCCACAAACCCAAACGCATTGTGGACGCCCTGGGAGCCGGCGATACCTTCGTGGGCGCCTTTATCTACGCCCTCTACATCCGGGAACGATCCCTGCCCGTCGCCGTGGACTTCGGCAATCGCATGGCCAGCTACAAGTGCACAAAGAACGGCTACGACCACATCGCCAATATCCTACTGCCCCCGGTCCTGTGACCCATTACAAATGGCCTGCGTTTCATGAGCATTCATCATACCGCTGCCCATTTCTTGTAACCAAAACAAAATTGTTCAGTTATTAATTACAGTATATCTTGTTTAAAATTTTCATTAAACACCAAAAAGAGTGCAACGTTTAACACAGTTTATGAATTTAAATCATAAAATGAAAATTAAGTAAATAAATGAATTGTTAAATTAGGTAAATAAATAAATACGTAGTTAAAGGCCTCGTAGCTAGCACTACACCTTCTATGTTAGTGTTAGTTTTGGAAACTTTACTTTCATCTTAGATAAATAAATAAATAAATCACAAAATGGAATTGTTATAAATCTGATGCCTCAAAAATAAACGCAGTAATAAATAAGTCATCTACCATTTCGAGTACTGGCATCGGTGATAAGGTATTATTTAAGAAGTATATTAAAATTCTACAAACGCAATCGGTGAAAATAAATTTTTTTAAATATAGCTTGCTTCAATTGAAAATGTAGGGTAAGGATAAACTATTACACGTCCTTTGCCCTTTAAAACCGAGCATTTATTACGTACACACACCGCTGGCCGAAGATAAAACTATAATTACCATTCCAGACCCCCGAACAGAGTGTATCGGCTATAAATTATCGGATATACAAATCCCCGTTTTACCTTCCTCGCACTTTTAGTTTTTCCGACTGTCCAATTGATTGCAAAACGAACCTGCAATGTCATTTAATTTTCCTTGCTAAAAAGGGTTCAACATTTTTTCATTCACTTTAGTACCTTTTGTCGTTTACCCTTGGCCATTTGAGATATAGCCAGATTATGTAAATAAATGGAAACCGTTGGGGCATTTCATATACGACCAGCAGGTGACCAAACCGTCCCTGTTCCATGCCGATAAATGAGATATCCGCAAGCAATAGATATTATTCGCTTGAGCTCGCTCAGATTATGCAAATGCCGAGCAAAACGAATTGCTAATTAGAGATTTGACGAGGCGAATTCGAATTAAAATCAATAAGACCCTGATTTTTGAAATTTGCTATCGCAACCACCGCGAAAAACATAGCTGAACCAAATATAATTCATAAATATTAAGATGAAAATCCTCGCACCACTCCAAAGGGAATAAGGCAATCGAATTATGTATAAATCTATAAGTAAAATCTTCTGAGTCTAGGAGTGGTCAAAGCGAGCAACTGGCCAAACCGTCAACTTCACTTTTGCCTCTTGATTGAAACTCATTTATCATCATAAATTAGAAGTGGGGGGCCAAGGAAGAGATTCATCATACTGCCGCCAGCGGACTGTAATCTGGCTCAGATTGAAAATTAATGAGGTCATCAGGCTCTGCATACCCAAATAGCTAAGTGTGCCAAGTAATTTAAGGCAGTACGCGTTTTTTCGCGATTCTCCCTTTAAAACGTTATTATTTTTGTTGCTTTTCATAGATTTACTTAACACAGGGGGGTACGAATCACCCACCCGTAAGTCAAGTTCCACTTCATCTGTACTCGTGGCTTCATCCCCCACGGTACGAAATTATTTTTTTTAAGGTATTTTACCCAATACATTAAAAACAAGTATAACAATGGGAACTTTTTTAAGTCAAATATAAAACTGTTAAAGCTACATTTTAGAAGTATAAAAAAAGTTACTTTAAGATAATACTTATAGAGAGCATATATTTATTATATTATATTTTTATTTGAGGAAGCCACCAGTTGTAATGACCTCTTGATGGAGAAGTTGACCTAAGCTTGACTGGACCCTTAGGAATTTTTTCCGTCTTAAGTAAAGCTTTCTGGTGGTAACTTAACGCATGCTCATACTTTTATAAGTCATTTTTTCCAGGAAGAGATTTATTTACATAAGTGGAATCCTTTATAGCCGAGGTCGACTTGTTACTCTGATAATACATTTTTAAAAATACTTACACAGTCAAAAAATCTTTAATATCAGATTTAAAAAAAAATTCACAAAAAGTTTTTATTTTACTTACAAACTTTCATTTCTGTTTTCAAAAATTTCAATTATATGATAATTTTAAAAATATATATATTTACTTTGTCCTCTATAAAAATTAGAAAAGGATGATTTAAATTTGTTTGTGGCTACCGCAAATGTTCTTAATTTCCTTTTGAATTACTTTTAATGCCGTTGAGCAAAGGATATAACAAACAAAAATACAGACCATATCCATCGATCATTTCTAACAAAAAGGCAGCAATTCAGACTTGAAAGGCGACTTTTGGGGTAAGGACTTCGATATTTTATGTTTAAATGGTCCGTAATTGAATTCCATCTATCCAAAGGTTTTGCCCAACGTTTCTCATTTTGTGTGATTTTTTTATAATGTTTACGCTTCTCTTCCGCTGTCACCTTACCTACCTTATTCTAGGAAGTGGTTAACACAATACCCAAGCCGTTAAAATAAAGATCTGATAAATCTGATTGTGCTAGGATAGCATCAAACTTCAGTGTTACGTAACATAAATTTTACCAGCCACGTAGTGTTAAGATATCGGCTGTCAAAACCGCGGTGACTGTGATCATAAAATGAAACAATTTTTAAAGTTCAAACAGTTTTATTTGTATAAAGTGCTTATTAGAACTGATTTTATTATTTATCTTTCAAATTAAAAAAATCTTCTGCGTATAATACACAGCTTGCATACGAATAGAAGTTTTCGTAAATGTGGTGCGACAACGTATTGACGTTATATTTCCATTGGCATTTAAAAGATGCTCCTTCCATATATAGAGCAGAAGTCATTATTCTTAAATGGTTCATAATCATATGAGCTGTAACCGTATGATATGCAGTGTTCTCTATAAATTTGGTAAATCCATCTACTCCGTCATCGTCTATAATTTTCTCAATTTGGCATATTGATTCCTTCGAAACTCCTATGATAGAATTAAGAAAAAGAACTAGTTTCTCATTATCACTCGTAGTTCCTTTGCCTTTGAAAAGATTTTGAACCGCATCCTTGGCACAATCCGAATTAAACCTTTCTTTAAAGTATTCAATTAGCTCATCAACGGTCCTTTCCACAGCTGGTATGACCCATCTCGTCAAAGCTTCTGTTGCTAAATTAATTGCTACACCAACTAGTATATCCGTTCCAGCACCACGTTTTTCAACGACTTCTTCAGTCTTAAACATTTTTGACTTGTGAACTGCTTTTGACCGGAAATTAGTTCCAGGGCAATTATGGGAGTCTCTTATTTCTTCCAATTTATCAACCCTTTGTCTAGTATCGTTTAAACATCTTTGAACAGCTTTCATTTTATATTTGGCTATAAATCTATCAAGAATATTCCAGTGAACGTCGCCGCGAATTCTTGAATCAGAATGTTGATAGTCTAAGTCACTTTCATCGGGCGGGGACTTTTTCTTTATCTTTATGTGGTGTCGCTTACACATTGCTTTTTGGCAATTAACTATGACAGCAGTAAGCAACAAAATTGATAGTATAAAAAGCGGTCTCATTTTGATAACTTTGCGTATGTGGCTTTAATGTACTTTGTAATGCAATGTAAATTGTACTTTCTTTAT